TTCTGAGGACACTGTGGCACTTTTGGGGTCACTCCACAAAGCCCCAGGTAATGTGCTAAGTGTCTTATATCCATTGTGACATTTAACCTTATTCTAACCACATGAGCTGAACTGGATATTGTTAAGAGCAATTTAGAGATTAAGAAACTGTGAGTGAGGTGGGGGAGGGTGTGTTTATATCTTATTCAGGTGTATATATTTAAGCAGGAGGTTTAGGGCTTGAATACAGATAACTCTGTCAGATTCCAAAGCCCTTGCCCTTTCCACTACACCACACTGCCTCCCAAATGACTTGAAGGGGAGAATGCTGCAATGTGATGATTGGCTAGAAGGCAGGAGTAGGGACAGGTTTCCTTCATTATGTTTTAGAGCCTCTCCTGAACTGGCCTCCATAAATCTCAACACTATCTCACTATCCACTGGCTCATAATTCCTCCTTCCTTCTCTCTTTCTCCCTCCCTCCTCTCTTTTTCAGTTAATATTACTACTACTTATAATATCCAGCTCTGTTCTTTGTATAACAAGATGGAAAAATGGAAGGGTTGAAGTTAGAGGTAGATTCATCCTCTAGAAAGCTGAGGACTGAGGGAATAGGAAGGGATTAATTAGTAGCAATTAATATTGTTGTTTACAGATGGAACATCCTCAACTGCTTTAATGTAGAAAGAGGCCCAGGACTTCCAAGAGGTCCATTTTAGATGACCCTCATTTCTGGGCAATTCCATGATCTGTCTTTCAAGTTTCACTTCTCTGGATTTACTTAGGGTATTTTTATACACAATAAACTCTTCAGTCATTCTCCTGAGCATTTATTTTATTTGATCCTTATTTATTCTCCATTTGTGTATTATTTCTAGCTAGATTAGGAATTTATTAAGGTTAAACATTTAATCTTATGTCTTTGCCTCTCTCCTAGTACTTGTGGAACACCACACAAAATAGGACTCAGAAAGTTACTTACTGAGAATACGTTTGTATTTTACTTTGAGACAAAGGGAAAAATGCATTGTTTCTGTTTGAAATTTAGAAGTCCATTTCAATTGTCTCTTGAATAGTAAGATAATTTTACTAGGCAGTCTCAATTATTTTATATTATACTAAGGTTGATTTTCAATATTTATCACATATCAATATGTTCTGATATGCTATAAAAACTTATTAATGATTGGCTTTTCACCAGAAGCGAAGATGTAAAAGGATCATTTTTGAAGGCTGGTGGTTTAATTCCTTAACTTTTATATTATCCCTTTCCTTGTTCTTCAGAAGTTTGAGATTCAGTCCATGGAAAGAAAAAATGGCTCCAGATTCATAGTCACCACAAAATAAAATTGGGAATCTTTATTACAGTGTATACAGGGAAGAATGTAGTACAGTTATGGAGAAGTAGGGGCACAGATTTGAGGAAGTGAAAAGTAGCATCTCTGAGAAAAAATCATTAGTTACGGTATTTTTTGCAGGTCTTTGAAAAATGAGTTGGTAGTAATTTATATTGTGTATACTTTGTGTACTCTGATAATAGTAACTTCCATTTACATAGTGATTTATATGCTTAGAGAGTGAAACGACCATTTTCTGTGTTTTCCCCAGGGAAGCTGAAGGACAGTAATATTAAGTAATCTATTCAAAACTACATTGGTAGTAATTAACTAGATGGAGCTCTTACATGTTTTTTGATACCAAGACCTTGGTCTTTAGACTCTATGTGCATATAACTTCAAGATAATTGTATTAACTCTCACGGAGAGAAATCTCTAACTCTCCGTTCATTTTCTTTGGTCAAATGGACTTACTGCTTATTAAACCTGAACTGCTAAGAGGCTCAATTAGTCCTCTGTTCTCTGACATTCACTGTGACTTAAATGAAGTTTTATATATTCTTAGTTTTATGGATTATTGGCAGGACATATTTTAATTCAATTTAGTTGAATTTAACTTCTCATTACCCTAAAATAGCTTCTTTTCTTATCTTTTCCTTTGCAACTATTATTGATTTTTATCAAAATTAGTTGGTTCTCATTATATGCCAAACATTTCCCTAAGTGACTTTGTAGGCATTATTTAGTATGATATCTCAAAACATTATCTTATAATTCAAAATTCACTCAACAAAATTTTTAATAAATGACAACCATATCTCAGATATTGTGCTAACATCTAGAGATACAAAGAGATAGAACATATTTGCTGACCTTGTGGGGTTCTTTTCAGTCAAGGAAAGGAGATAGACAAGGCAGATAAGGATAAAAATATTACAGATGCTATGATGCTATGATCAAAATAGATAATTCAGTGATATGCCAGGCATAGTGTTAGTCTGAGGAAATGGCAGTGAACAAAACAGACAATGATCTTCCTTCACAGAGGTGACATTCTAACAGGGATTCTAAGATCATGGGGAAAAAATCATTTAAGGTCACAACTTACATAGAGTCAATGATGTTACTTTATGGGTCTTATTTAAATGGACAAACAAGCTCGGATTGGCATTAAAATGGTTATTAAGGAATCTTTGGAACATCAGTTATGTATACAAATGATTGAGTGAACATTGAAAGTAAAGCTACTTTTCAATTTGTAACCTTATACCCTGGAAGTAATATATAGGGTATTGTGTAGATGGCAGGTGTTCACTATCAGGGTTCTTTCTGGAACAAGACAGTTCTTAAAGATGTCAGTTCTCTACATCCTTACCACCATGAAATATAAATTCATTTAAAGCTAAATAAGGTAGAATGGTACAATTTGTCTCACTTGATTTGGTGGTAATGTCTTCAATTCTGTAGTGTATGTTAGATCAGAACAGATTTTTCTTTCTTAAATGGAAGACTCTCAAGGATGTCAAACTTGCTTTTTCTGTTGTACAGTCTTTCTATTCCAGTACAATTTAAATGTGCCTTTTTTTTTTTTTTTGGTCTTATTCTTTCCTTGTACAAAGGTATTTCCTGTAAGTTCCCCATATATTAACTTCAGTGAACCATCATAATTTAAAATAAGCCATAACTTCATAAAATGGCATTATCATTATAATTGTTATTTAGGTTGTTAACTTTCTCAATGAGCAAAAATTTCTCCTCTTGCAACCTCAAGTTTTGTTGTGATATCAAACAAGATAATTAATGAATGTAGAATGTACTTTGAAAACATCAAAATGCCAAAACCTGTGAACTCCTACAATTGATTTTATTCATATTGTTAATTCAGTGATCAGAAAGCATGTAAGTGGCTATCTCTTTATAGCTCTCTTGAAAACCACTTACCTCTACATAGTTTTCTTTTATTGTTGGATTTTTTTCTAAAAATACTTTATTGAATCTCCTTTGTTTATTTAGTAAACAATTATTGAGTGTCAGAATTGTGCTGGCCTCTAAAGACATTGACATGTGAAATAGCCCCCATTAGATGAAGGGGAAAGACAATAAAGATCACTATGTTAGAGGTTGGTAATTCTATGAAGATGTATTTTATACATCAGCTATAATTCTAACCCAGATTTTCTTTCCTTAGCACATCACTTCTCTACAGTGCTTCTTAAACTTTAAAATGTGTGTAATAATCTGGGTAGCATGGAGATTCCTGGGCTCTACCCCTAGAGAGATTCAGCAGGCCGGGGAATCTGCATTTTCACAAAGGCGAGGTGTTTGGGGATCTGGTAACCCTTGAACTTCACTTGGAAAGAGTCCCTTTGTGATCTTTCCCTTTTGCCTGACACTTCACCAAGCAAAGGTCCCCTTTGGCTTCCTCATCTCTCCATCTGCTTATATCAATGCCATGCTTTCAGGACAGCCAGTTTAGATCTATCAGGCCCATGGTCATTTCATCACCTTGACTTGACATAATTCTCTGTATTGAGTTTCTGACCTTGCTGGAGTCATTTGTACCTAGTGTCCTGAGAACGACACCACTAACTGTTGCCTCACCCAGAGACTGACTCAAATGACGGGGAATATCGGGAAGATGATGAGGGAATGCCCCTCTCATGGTATAAAAAAAGAATGCTTTTTAAACAAGGTGTTAAGTCACATCAGCTAGTAATTGCCTACCTGTAGGGAAATACTTTTGTTAACACTTTATAAAGTATTCATTTAGCCCTCATAAAAAAATCTATGAAGGAGATGCTATTATTTTATTCATTTTATAGATTAGGATTCTGAGGTTCCATAACTTGTCCAACATCACACAACCAATAAGTGGTATAGCAGGGATTTGAACTCAGGTGGTCTGGCTCCAGGGTCTGGTGGCCATAATCAGTATACTAATGCTGCCTTACTCTTAGTCAAAGGAATGTCCTATGTTTGCTACCACCATTCATATCAAAATGACTTCCAGTAAGTTACACAAACAAATAGGAACAAAGCATAACAAACAAAAATTATCCCAAAAGCAAAACCAAGCAATGCAAACATTACATAGGATAGTTTTCAGTGTATTTTCAAATCAAAGATGTATTTCAGCTTCAAATTACAGGAAATTGTTAGTAAAGCAAAAGACCCCTTCACAACAGAGTAACGTATCTCATCCTCTCAGAAGATAGTTTCTTTTACAATCTTTTTTCCCATAGAAATACAGGATACTCCATGAAGAGCATGAATTTTTGAGTCAGAAATCAGGCTTCTGATTTTGGCCTGTCATTTATTTGCTTGATGACCTAGGACAATTTGCTTGCCTTAATTAATTCTCAGATGCTATGAAATAGACATGACAATACAAGCTTTGGTGAATATTAAACAAGATAAATATGTAAAGCGCTCAATACAGTGCCTGGAACATAGCAGTCTCTCAATCAGTACTTATTTCCTAGTATTAGTAGTAGTAGTAGTAGTAGTGGTAACAATAAATTTAATACTCTTAGCAGAATATAATGTTCAGACAAAATATTTTTGGTGGATTTAATACATTATAAAAGTTTAACTGATGTTCCTTTTTGACATCATGATTGCAGAATGCTTATTTTGCTCCTTTAAGGATGTCTCTTCTGAGATGGACTCATTTATATTCACCAGGTGATCAACCCAACACTCAACTGCTAGCCCTGGCCTCACGCTTGCGGGAGAGTGCTGAACTCTTCCAGTCAGATGAGATGCGTCCTGCGAATGATCCGAAGGAGAGAATTCCCCTCCGTGTCCGAATGCTGAATGACATTCTCCAAGACATGGAGAAAAACTTCCTGGTACAGCAAGTGCCACCGGGTTTTTATAGGTAGGATATGTGTCTTAACCTTTATTTGTTTTTGCCCCTCAATTAAATTTATATGTTTAACTTTCAGAATTTGTACCTTCTGTGAACATGACACTATTTTTTAAAATTTATTTAATTAATTTTTTTATTATGTTATGTTAATCACCATACATTACATCATTAGTTTTTGATGTAGTGTTCCATGATTCATTGTTTGCATATAACACCCAGTGCTCCATTCAGTACGTGCCCTCTTTAATACCCATCACCAGGCTAACCCATCCCCCACCCGCCTCCCCTCTAGAACCCTCAGTTTGTTTCTCAGAGTCCATAGTCTCTCATGGTTTGTCTCCCCCTCTGATTCCCCCCCTTCATTCTTCCCCTCCTGCTATCTTCTTCTTCTTTTTTTTTTTTAACATATAATGTATTATTTGTTTCAGCGGTACAGGTCCGTGATTCAACAGTCTTACACAATTCACAGCACTCACCATAGCACATACCCTCCCCAATATCTATTACCCAGCCACCCCATCCCTCCCACCCCCCACCACTCCAGCAACCCTCAGTTTGTTTCCTGAGATTAAGAATTCCTCATATCAGTGAGGTCATATGATACATGTCTTTCTCTGATTGACTTATTTTGCTCAGAATAATACCCTCCAGTTCCACCCACATTGTTGCAAATGGCAAGGTTTCATTCCTTTGATGGCTGCATAACATTCCATTGTATATATATACCACATCTTCTTTATCCATTCATCTGTCAATGGACATCTTGGCTCTTTCCACAGTTTAGATAGAACTCATACAGGAATTCAGTAAAGTGGCAGGATACAAAATCAATGCACAGAAATCAGTGGCATTCCTATACACCAACAACAAGACAGAAGAAAGAGAAATTAAGGAGTCAATCCCATTTACAGTTGCACCCAAAACCATAAGATACCTAGGAATAAATCTAACCAAAGAGGCAAAGAAAACTATAAAATACTCATGAAAGAAATCGAGGAAGACACAAAGAAATGGAAAAACGTTCCATGCTCATGGATTGGAAGACCAAATATTGTGAAGATGTCAATGCTACCTAGACCAATCTACACATTTAATGCAATCCCTATCAAAATACCATCCACTTTTTTCAAAGAAATGGAACAAATAATCCTAAAATTTGTATGGAACCAGAAAAGACCCCGAATAGCCAGAGGAATGTTGAAAAAGAAAAGCAAAGCCGGTGGCATCATTATTCCGTACTTCAAGCTCTATTACAAAGCTGTAATCATCAAGACAGTATGGTACTGATATAAAAATGGACACATAGATCAGTGGAACAGAATAGAGAGGCCAGAAATGGACCCTCAACTCTATGGTCAACTAAACTTCAACAAAGCAGGGAAGAATGTCCAATGGAAAAAAGACAGTCTCTTCAACAAATGGTGTTGGGAAAATTGGACAGCCACATGCAGAAAAATGAAACTGGACCATTTCCTTATACCACACACAAAAATAGACTCAAAATGGATGAAAGACCTAAGTGTGAGAGAGGAGTCCATCAAAATTCCAGAGGAGAACACAGGCAGCAACCTCTTTGACCTCAGGTGCTGCAACTTCTTCCTAGAAACAAAGACAAGGGAAGCAAGGGCAAAAATGAACTGTTGGGACTTCATCAAGATAAAAAGCTTTTGCACAGCAAAAGAAATAGTTGACACTATTTTTTAATGCAGTTATTACATGTAGTTATATGAGTAATTATTATATGTACAATTTGAGGACCATTCTCCTACCCAAAGGAAATTTCAACTGCATGAGTATAGAATAAAAGAAAATGGCTTAGCGGTTTCATACAGAAAATGACTAAAAATTTTTTTTGACATTAAGCTCAGTGAGTCAGACATGATATGGCTACGGTTAAACCAAATGGAATTATAGGTTGTATTGGGAAAAATACGCTTTCTTGAATGAAGCAGGAGATAAGCTTATACTATTCTTCCTAGTAAGACCACGATTAGAGTATTGCGTTTAGTTCTAGAAGCTCCCTGTCAAGAGAGAGCTAAATAAGTTTACTATTCAGAGGAGAGTGGGATTTAGATGGATCTGGAAACAACCAGATTAGAGATATTAGTTGGAGGGTCACAACAGAGTGATTTCTAGAAACATTTTAGCAATTTAATAGATACTTTAATAAACCCATTTTTCGATATGGAAGGGGGATTCAATTTTGGCTTTTAGAGGATGAGAGAGGAACAACATGGTTTTTATTTTATGGTTCCTAACATAGTAGAAATTAAACAGAGAGGGAAAATGGAGTTTGAAAGATTATAACTTATTTTATATATTCTTATTTAAGTTTTTGATTTTTCTACAAGACACAAAATATAAATACACATGCCTTTCTGTGTAATAGATGCATATGTAATGTGTGTATGTGTATAACAGCTTAACATATGTGTGTGTATTTATGTCTCGTGTGTGTATATATGCATGTGAGTATGTGAGAAAAGGCAGGAGGCAAAGAGGTATTGGACAAATAGTGAAACAGGAAAACTATTTGGCCTGAAGCTCTCATTCATAAAGGACATCAAATTTATACTTTTGCACTACATCACTTTACATGTGTGTGTTTGTGCATGTATATATAACATATAACATTAAAAATACCCTGGACTAGACATACTGTGCGTGACTGAAGGACACAACTAGGACTAAAGAATCGAAGCATAGGAATACACATCTCAATTACATCTAAGAAAGAAGTTTCTGACAAATAGTGTTCTTAGAAGATGAAATGTGATGCTTTTATAGGGTAGTGAACTCGCCAGTGATAGTAAGTTCACTACCACTGCATGCATTAAAGCACAGCCTAAGTAGCTCTAAGTATTTTGACTGTATGAGGTTTAAGGTGGCCTTTAGTACCAACATTCTATGATCTGACAAAACACTTGATCTCTCTGCATCTTAGCTTCTACAGTCATAAAATGAGATGGTAGAATGAGACCTGTTTAAAATAAAAAATCTTTCCTAGTTTTGATATTTGGTGATTTTCCTTTGTGATTTTAAACTCAAAATTCTCATTTAAAATCCTTATATTGGGTCACCTGGGTGGCTCAGATGGTTAAGTATCTGCCTTTGGCTCAGGTCATGATCCCATGGTCCTGGGATCAAGCCCCGCATTGGGCTCCCTGCTCTTCAGGAAGCCTGCTTCTCCCTCTCCTGCTCCCCCTGCTTGTGTTCTCTCTCTGGCTGTCTCTCTCTCTGTCAAATAAATAAAATCTTTAAAAAAAAATAAAATAAAATCCTTATATCATTTCTTCTAACACTTTGACTCTGCAGTATAAGACTTTGGAAAATGTTAACTTATTACAATAGATACCTTTAAGATATTCTTGTAAGCACCAGAGACATAGAAGTTGCTTCCAGTTAATAACACCTACTCTGATGTGGTTATATTCCAGAGGTGGGGATGGAGAAATAGAACGAACAAGGTAACTAAGTAAAATATAGTGTATGGTAGGTATAATACCGGCTAAAGAAACAATTAAGCCACATTATTAAATTCAGCATTACTAAAAAGTCATAATCAGAATAGGTAAATTATATTTTAGAATATAAAAATTTCCCTCACTTTTAATTTATGAAAAATTCAGAAATTAATAAAAATCATACACTAAGAATATAGTTGTATATATCATGATATAATAAACACTTTTACCATTTGCCTTCCTTGGCACTTGCACTAGTTATAGAAGGCCCCTATGGTCTGAGGTATATGTCCAGAGAACTTTGCATTACAACTTCAATAATATTTATTTATCATACATTTTGAGTGGAAAGGGAAATATTGATCTTGTCTTGAGTTAACAATGGTTAAGAAAGTGATTCTTTTTCCTGTTAGTGATATGATTACGGTATAACTTGTATCCCAGTCCCAGTGTGCAAGCTTCAAAATGTTGATTATGATAATGTTCTAACTCATAACAAACTTCCGAATTGAAAGCTTATGGTTCAATATTTTGACATTATTTTAAAGTATTGCTACAGTTATTGAAGAAATACATGTATGCCATTATTCTCTTTGGCCCTATTAATTTATATATATGCCAATGGCAAATAGATTTAATAGATAGATGCAAATAGATAGCCTCATTTTGTTTTATCTGACTGACATTTATCCCAAGATTGTCATTAATTTTTACTTCATTTCTGAAATATGTAACAAATCATCCTATTTCATGTTTTCTCTTAGTAGAGAATTTGTATTTCTAAATATTCTTGAAGCAAAAATTTCAAAATTACAGTAGAATTTCTACTCTCAATCCTTGTAAGCTCTTCCTTTATGGGGGAGGAAATGTTCAAAGTACAAAAATGGGTGTGACAAGATCATATGCAGTTTAAGAAAATGGAAAAATTGATTATAATGATAACCATATGGAGTAAAGATAAAATTGTTAATTACATCATATAAAAGAACATTTGGTGAACAAGATTCATTTTTTCTAACATTAAATAACCTTTAGAGATGTTATTCATGTAAGAATCTCACTGTTCAACCTGATGGTGTTATGACAATTCTCATCAAATATACAAGGAGGAAGTCAAAAGTAATTTGCTTTTCAAGAAAGTTGTTGACAGAAGTTCATTGTATAAACCTAAATATTTCATTTAGAATTTGGGTTGTGTCCCAAAGGATACTGCCTCAACCAAAGTGTCGCTAAACACTGAAACATTATTTTTGGAATATGTGAAGAAATTTTCTCCATAATTCAGCATCAGAAGATTCAAAGATTTTGAAATCCTATGATGTTGCATGTAAAATGTGTTGTCTTTCTCATAAATAAACCCTCATCGAACATTGCTTTGTGTAAGCATATTGACAGAAACTGGCAATATAAGATCCCTACATTTAGGAAGTTTAAAACGTAAACTATATAAATCAAAAATAAAAAATTTGAAGAATACTTATGCAAATTTCCTAATGAATACTACAGGCAAGAAGTGTTGTTGGGTTTCAGTGAAGAGAGAAGTTA